CCCACACCATGAACATTTAAAGCCCATGGATTTCACCCAAATCTATTTATCATACAAACGGTTAGAAATAAGGTGCAGGAGTGAAGAATACATATTGCACCTTCTAAACAGAACAAGATGAACAGCAAGTCTTGTGGCACTTTAAAACTAATAAATTCATCATGGGAAAAGGTTTTATGGGCACCAGTCCACTTCACCAGATGCACGAAGGGTTATCCTGAAGTATACATACACAAGGTGGAGTAGTGGGGTGGAATTGTAAACATTCATGTCAAAACGGGGGAAATGCATAAAATACAGATTGTGATAATTGACAGCAGCCATTCACAAAAAAGTCTGTTGCTAACACAAATTTCTTAGCGTTGCTAAGCCAAGAAATGTTGTATGATTAAACAAAAAACATTTGCCCCAATTCATGACAAATGAGATAAGAGTTCACAATGAGACATAAATGGTGTGAAGTAGTCAGGTAGTTATGTTAGGCACAAAGCCATGTTTTAATAGGATGGTCCAGCTGTGCAGTCCTGAAACTGAAAGCAGATCAAATGTTTCAGATGATGGAGAAAGTTCTTGTATGTGAGTCTTATCCATTAGGAAACAAAAGGAGAAAAAAGTAGAAATGTCAAATTTGCAGGCCAAATATTTTTCCATCTTCAAAGAGCAAAGGCTCTGTGAGCAATTAAAGTTCTGGGACATTAATATCTTTTGACCCTGCGGAAAAGGGCAATCAAATTCCAATCACGTCTAAAAAACATCTGGACAAATTTGAGCAAATGATTTTTCAGCCATCCATATATTTCTTTAAATTACGCTGTCAACGGAGAAAGCCACATCCTAGGGCACGAAATAAATGAGATCTGTTTGAGGCCTGCCTGCAAGAAAGAACGTGTGGGGGGGAAACAGGCAGCCCTACACTACCAAAGGCCTAAGCCTGCCATAAAGCACCAAACAATATGGCACAGGAGCCAAAGGGAGGCATAAATCAAACAAATAGAAAAGCTATTGTAAAAGTTTCAATGAGCTAGAGAGAGACATCTAAATATAGCAGCAGATTTAATATTCCACCCCCCTGCTGCCCCCCAAGCAGCTGCTGTAAAAGCGTCAGATATATGGATGATTAACAGTAAACATTGGAAGGCGTGGGGTGAAATTTATTTTTTGTCATCTTGGATGGATAGCCAAGAATCCTATGGAAATCAACTTAAGAATTTTCTGCTGACAGGGGGTTAGGCCCAAGGTCACCCTTCATAAGGAAAGATGGGTTGACAAAGAAGGGAGTCATGTTATGCCAATTTTGGCAAACCAATTTTGCAAAAATTAATGCAACGAGTGCATTTCATCTGTTGGCATGAGAATGGTAATGCAGTTTAACCATTTGATTCATCACAACTGACATTTCTAAACTGACATTTCCTTAAGCAACCTTGCAGCCATGCAATAAGTTTGAGTTGAATTGTGTATTTTGCTCAGGTTGAAGTGACGGCACAATCCAATGCCAGCTCCTTCATCAAGGCCAAAACCCCAGAAGGCAAGCTTTGGACACATCCTTGTCCACACTATACTGCACCTGGACCTTAATGTCATCGGCTCAGTGTCTTACAGTGACAAGAAGGGACGTCCCTGGGGAACTTGTAACCCTCTAGATGTTGCTGGACTATGTCTCCTATGATCCCCAACTATTGGCCATGCTAGCAGGGACTCATGGAAACTTGAGCCCAACATTTGGAGGGCCACAGCTTCCCCACCATTGTAGGAAGTAACCACTGTAGGAACCCTATACACAAACCACATGGCTGGCACCATCTTCAACTTTTATCCCCCATCGACATGGATCTGACAATGCCTGGATGCAGGAACTGTGGCACACCAATTATTTGTTTCCTTCTAACCCAAATAGAAGGGGAAGAAATGGAGGCAGTGAGAGATTTTACTTTCTTGGGCTCCATGATCACTGCAGATGGTGACAGCAGCCACGAAATTAAAAGACGCCTGCTCCTTGGGAGAAGGGCAATGACAGGCCTAGACAGCATCTTGAGAAGTAGAGACGTCACCTTGCCAACAAAGGTCTGCATAGTTAAAGCCATGGTTTTCCCAGTAGTGATGTATGGAAGTGAGAGCTGGACCATAAAGAAGGCTGATCGCCAAAGAATTGATGCTTTTGAATTATGGTGCTGGAGGAGACTCTTGAGAGTCCCATGGACTGCAAGAAGATCAAACGCATCCATTCTAAAGGAAATCAGCCCTGAGTGCTCACTGGAAGGACAGATCGCTGAGGCTCCAGTACTTTGGCCACCTCATGAGAAGAGAAGACTCCCTGGAGAAGACACTGATGCTGGGAAAGATGGAGGGCACAAGGAGAAGGGGGAGACAGAGGACGAGATGGCTGGATAGTGTTTTCAAGGTTACCAGCATGAGTTTGACCAAACTGCGGGAGGTAGTGAAGGACAGAGGTGCCTGGCGTGCTCTGGTCCATGGGGTCACGAAGAGTCAGACACGACTAAATGACTAAACAACAACAACAACCCAAATATCAATCAGACAAGAAAGCAACGTTTTGGCATCTTTGGTCTTGCCCACACATATTTCTAGAACAGCAAGAGAAGAGGCTACTAGGAAGTGACTAATGCATTGATACAGAAACAGTCAGTCCTTAGTTTTTTCACCACAGGAAAAGGACTGTGTCTAGCCCTCACACAATCGCTTTCACCATGGCTACACAACTACTAGGCCCACCCAGTTAACAGCATCACAATTCTAAAGAAGCAAGTGACACACATCTCCAGGTGGACAGATCTGCACAACCAAACAGAACAGGATGAAACAGCAAGGATGTGCAACACCAGATATTAAATATATCTGAACACAGATGAAATGGGAAAATGTACACATGCAGATAACACCAGAGTCACCCAGAAGAAATTTGGAAGCACAGGAATCAAATCTCATTGAAGCTATTGCAAAAATATTAATTGATTTTTTGTTATTTTGGACCACATCAGGAGGGGGAAATTAAGCAAAGCAACAGCTGCAAAATCACTGTAGAGATACATCCACTCACAGAATTGAAGATTCAAATTATTAGAGCCCAAGGAATACGGAAGTATAGGTGGGTTGTTAAAGAAATTGCAAATTAGCACAGAGAATACTGTATCTAACACCCACTGAGAATTTGGGGGTAAATAGTATGACTTTTGGAAGTGATTTCATAAGCATGTGTGGGGAAGGCCCACTGGAATTGGTTTTCCATGTATTTCTGGGGGTGGGATGAATGGGAAATGATCCCATCTGTCAAAATGTTGTGTTGCCTGAAACTGATTGTTAAATATAGAAGACCAACTGTGTCGATTCACAAAGTCAAGTCCTCAGAAGGTAAACATTTATACAGCACTTGGGGATAGAATCATGGAAATGTTGAGTTGGGAGGGACCCTGAGGATCATCTAGTCCAACCCCCTGCAATGCAGGAATATGCAGCTGTCCCATAGGGGGATCGAACCTGCAACCTTGGTGTTATCAGCACCACCATCTAACCAACTGAGCTATCCAGTTGAAAGGGCTTCACATCTGGACCTTTCAAGTTTTGGGTATACCATATATCATCTCCCCTGAAATCAAAGGGGCTTGTTTCTAAGTAAATACGCTAAAGATCAGAATTGGGTCAAAGAAAAGCACCCTGGATTTAATGTCAGTTCTAAAAGCCGGAGACAACACTAACCAAAACCAAAATATGGCTTCCACATGAAAACATCTTTTCAAATCACAGAAACTGCCTTCAAGAGAGACACATCTGCATACAGCAACTCACTATGTGCAATTTTATCCACACTACCTTAATCAATCCACACAACCTTCTTAAACAAAACACACACAGAAAAAGTTGTCTGATGCACTGCAATGAGCCTGTGGCCAACTGTTTTGAATGTTGATAGCTTCCGTAATGCAAATATACTATAAACCTATAAACCAGGAAGGCACAGATGTTGCTGGTTATTTCACATTAATAGGGTGCTCCGGGTCTTAGGAACCTCTCTTCTGCAGCTTTTTGCCTTTCCGGTTTTACCTTTTTGTTCATTCTGACTCTCCCTTAATTCCTCTGGTTTGTGAAAACCCTGCTTCTATCTAGAACTGGAGAAAGTCAGTCAATTGCTACCATAGAGACCCTTCTGACTTGTGCCTTCCTTCCACCTCCACCCCCGGCCAACACTAGAGCACCTCAGCCAACCCCTTTAGAACGGAAAAGAATGTCTAAGCAAACAAAACCCTACAATACATTTGGATTGTATTACAGAAAATTGTTTGTTTGTTTGTTTGTGTTTGTTGGTTGTATCCCGCTCATCTGACTGGGTTGCCCCAGCCACTCTGAGTGACTTCCAACAGAATATAAACGAACACACACAAAAACAGCAGACTTTAAAAGCTTCCCAATACAGGGCTGCCTTCAGATGTCTTCATGAGCCCACATGGTACTGTACACAACACACATGCTCATTAAGTCACAAGAGCCTTCCTATTCAGGCCTTCAACCCCAGTAGGATTCTAATAATGAAAGGGAGACCATGTTCCCAGAGTCCTGGCCACACCACCTTTCATGTTTTGGAGGGGATGCCTTCATGCTGATACTTCGCTACTAGTTTGCTGTAACATAAAATATTGTTCCACCTTGGGTGCTTCCTGAATGAGAGACCTCCTGGATACCATATATAAGCCACTTGGAGCTCTTTGGAGTGAAAGCAATATATCAAATGTAATAAATAACCCAGCAGTAGACAAATCTGAACTGAGCTTGATATGTGAACACTACCACAACATATCCGTTAATCTGAAAATTATACCAAGGGGATAAAATCCACAGGGAGCAAAAGTTGTGACAGTGTGATCTGTTTTGTAATTTAAGATCTACTGATCCCACAAAAACAACCTGCTAAAGTATCAACATGAAACTATCAGTTTCAGGGTCAGAATGTTGAAAGCAAAGTATATTATAGGGTCATTCCTACTCACTTTGTGGCAAGCAGCATATTCTTCCTGGAGTGGAGATCAGTAGGGTCTGTGTGCTGTCTGTTCAGGTACTCAGAAACAGCTTTGGCTGGGAACTCAGTTTCACAGATGTATCCAAAATCCCGAGCTAAATGTACAGCTTCTCCTGGGGAAAGATGAGCAGCTTTGATCATCACAGGTCGACCACATTGACACAATCCTTCTTAGCCAAGTGAATACTAACTGAGTGAGACTGGCATATAGTCAGATCCTTAGATCTGTCAGACCAAAAACTAACTTTTCAGTTATCACGATCTTCTTCAGCCATTTGCAGATGTCCTGCACCTTCATCCTTAGCACTGCATTAAGCCATTGGTCATACTGAACGTAGTAGAGTTCTAGAGCATTAAATGTCTGCGACCTGGGCTATGAAAGGGTAACCAATATAACCACATCAGCTCAACTAGATGCTGGCTGAAGCTGTTAGCAAGCAGGTTGAATCACACAAACAGGGAAATGCACATTGTGTATGTCTACACAGCAAACCTGAATTAGTTATTCCTGTTGGGTTTCTGTTCCTCTCACTGTGCAGATATTGTGTAGGATTGGTTCATCACATGTCTGTGTTATGCATTCCAGCACTGACTGTTGGAATCACGGCTGTGGATGTTTTACTGTACTGTACTCTGTTTCCGTTTGTTTTTGCTTCCACTTCTGACTTCTCTCCAACGAAGACCAGAGAGAGGAGACATGTTTAATTTTGTTCTGCCTTATGATTAATAAAGCAGCTTCATGCTCACAACCTCAGCCTAGCTCTGACTGGGTTTTATCTCTGCTGGACTCTGGATGTGTGCTCAATGTCTCCAAGACTTGAGTCACTATAAATCGTCGGGGAAGGCTGTCGGAACTCCCTAGAGCTGCACACTGATGGGGGGGAGACAGGCTGGAAACGTTCCTGTCGTTTGCCTGGGGGTTGTCCATGCTCCTGGCCACCCAACAATTCCACCTGAAAGATATTCTATGATGGGAATCCAAAGATTCCTAATAAATCTACAGTTCCCAGAATTCTTTGAAGGAAGCTGTGACTGTTAAGTGCCATAATAGTGATATCACTTAGTCGTGGGGTCAGCCTTACACTAAGACTGAGATAAGAAGTAGTTTTACTCCCCAAGGTTGTGCTGGCAATACTGTGGAAAGAGCTGTTCAGCTAAGCACTTTGAAGCCCCATTTATTTCAATGGGAGAGACTGACATGCACACTTATTTCTTCTATTGAGAGCAGTCCAATTTTATAGCGCTTACTTTTGACTGAATTGTACCTTTGGAGTGCAATGCTGGGGGAAAATACAGTTGGGTTTTATTATTCTCTTTCCCAAGAGCTAGTTTTGAGCTCTTCGTGTACACTTTCTTCAGACTGCTTTCTCTACCTTCGTTGCCCTCCTTCTCATAAAATTAATTGGCAAACAATTAAAAACAAACAGGCTTGCACACTTGTTGTAACACCTTCTTTCAATAGGCCAGAGTCCAGGAAGCGAAAAACAGTGTTCTAGACTCTCATAGCATTGTAGGTTCTCTAATAAGTAGAGCTGGAAGAGAAATTCAAGCAAAGAAAGGAGTTCCTTCTTCCCCTGTGGTAGAAGGCCTGGATACTGACTGAGCAAAGCCTCACTTAACATTCACAACTTGGAGAACATTCAGGACATCCAGCCTGTCATAAATACAAAGCAATGTAATGCTATTGTAAGAAGTTACAGACTGAGTTGCAGTTAGGAAGAATAAGGACTCAGGAGCTTTAGATCATTGGATGCTAGCATTATATTAGGGCTCCAAGTTGAGCTAAGTCTTGTCTAGCCTCCAAGCACAAATGCTCAGTCCTGAACTACATGAAAAATGCCTCTGGCATTTGTAGCACACATTTTTCCTCCCTTGTTGCAAGTGAATTTGGGCATTCTGTTGATATGTAGGAATGGATAGTGCAAAGTTCTCCAAACCTCCTGTTCCTCTAGCGTTATATTATAAATTTTCCCTGCATAACTCCCTTGCTCAACTGGATGCCAAAACTGTCCATCAAGAGTCTCCATATCTCCTAGGTGAGGGAGATGTGAAGGCTGTATTTCCATTCATTCCAATGTGGCTGTGGACCATCAATTCTTTTTATGCACAACAGAAGTCCAAAAGCACCCTGTTAACATGAGTGAGCCCTACCCTAAGGAAGTAGAGTGCAAGTCTCAGGCTGGGTTCCTAAACAGAACTGAACCCCTAAACAGGCCACCAAAAAATACAACAGCAGACAATCAACACATGTATACATTTTGTTGTTGTTGCTTATTATGTATTTTGTGTTCTCATTTTGTATTTTGATATTTTTGACTGTGTTCCAGTATAAAACATCATGTGTTAGTGCTTGCATCCCACTGAAATTTATCCCTTTGCCACTGAAAAATAAAAAATAGATACCTTCACTCACTACATCTCCCTCAAAACATAGCATGTAGGATAAAATTCTGTGTACATGTGTTCAGGAACACTAAGGGCTTGTTGACATGGGAATTTATAGTGGATTTGTTGCTGCTTGTGGATGCAAGCTTTACAACATCTGCACAATGCTGTCCTAATCAAAATACCATCATTTAATTGGGAATGTTCTGTTTTACAAACAATCCTTAAGTCCAACCACAGTCAGTGTGGATTATAGCTATGGTACTGGGGGTAATTATAATATTACAAAATAAGTTATTGTAAAATTTAAATACCTGCCCCTTTTCTGATTACTGATACCACACTGTAGTTTAAACCTAGTGGAGGAGGAGGAGGAGGAGGAGGATCAAGGCAACCCCAGAGACTGTTACCTATAAAAACAAATATGTCTAATAATCCTAATGACACATTATTTTGAAAAGGAAAGGAAGTGGGAGAGAAAGATGACCTTCATCAAATCTCCATTCACCATGGATGTTTAATTCTCCTTATGAAACTTACAAGATAAAGACCAGACTCCCTGCCCCTTGTGAATCCTGAACAGTGATGAATGAAACATTTTTGCCACAGGCAATAAAATGGAAGAGCAGTGGAGGAGAGTGGGATATTGCTGAAGCAGCTGCTAATTCAGTAGGATAGGCCAAGAGATAGTTCTTTAAGGGAAACTGTTTGGCTTGCTCAGCAACAATTTTGTATATTTTGTAATGCATCTCACTCCAATATTCACAAACACAAAGGCATCTCACTCTAATAGTTGCATGCACAGTTCTAGTTCCCTGTTAACTTTGAGAATTCCTGAAGCACTTGAATAGGGTTTGGGTGGAGTTATACTCTTACATCGTGGTCCAACACAGAAATGACACCTGAGTAATGCATGATGGACTGTAATCATACAGTATCAGCAGTTTATTATGTGCAAGTTTGCTGTCCATCTCAGTCTTAAGGGACCTTTGGGCTGCTTTCCTCAGCAAGCAGCTCGTCCCTCTCCTCTCCATTTTCTGCGATCATTTCCTATTTACCGTACTTTATAAACTTTGGAATATCTTCACTTCTCATTAAATGTCTCTCCTGAAATGGACCTTCATCATCATTATTCTTTTAACAATAACTTAGGAACCAGGAAATTGAGTGATATCTTGCAGATCCAAACAGAAGCAGAATTTTGTCAAGTAACTAGCAAAGGCCTCTGGTACCAATACCTTTATTCCTGAAGTAGGTATGCTGACTTTTCTAATGGCTTCATTCAGGTTTACAGCTTAATCACATTCAAATAACCAGATTTTGGAACCCTGAAGTCAATAATTACATATAGTATACTAATGATACCCAGTGGTGTTTTTTTAATTCTGCTTTTGAAAGAATCCTATGAATCCTTATTAGTGTCATATACAAGTATTTGTCAAGGGGAAGCCTCCAATTCTTCTCTGAGCCAGCATGCCTCTCTATAACCCAGTACTAAATTTTCCACAAGCAGTTCTAGCCACATTGACTGGGGCCCAGCCACTGAACACTGAAGGGATTACGTGCAAGTAAATATGCATAGGATTGGGAACTTAGTCTGGAATCTAGCAGCAACTCCCCTTTCTCCTCTGCAACCCTGACAAACACACACACACACACAGAGGCAATTGCAATAGAAAGCTCCCACTAGCATCAATGGAGTTCCATTGGTATTACCTTCATAATAAGACAATGCAAGCAGCCAACCTTCCCCACCCTCCCCTCCAAAAAAATCCACCCATGTTTAAAATTTCTGCTTTTATATTCTCCTCCATCCTAAGGAAGAGTTGCTGCTTAACTCAAACGCTCACACAGCACCTCTTGGTATATTTATTTACTGTTCTTGAGTCTGTGCAGTTGCATCTTAGGATGAATTCGGTTGTGACCCCTAGGCTGGTCCGATCAGAGGCGTGCTGATTCCAAAGCACGTCTCGCCGCCCTCAGTGGGACTCACTCCGAAGCACAGGCTGAGGACAAGCCATTTCGGATGGCGAGATCTACACGCGCCCCAGAGTGGAGATATGGGCCGAGCTTCATGACGCTTGAGGTCTTTGTTCTTTATTCAACACTCCTGCTTCCTGCGCGCCGGAGCTTCGGTGCTACCCCGGCAACGATTTCCACTCAATGCACGAGCCTCGTGCGCAATGTCCCCGCTCCCCCGCCCTCGAGAGCCGCCCGGGGGCGCCGCGGGGGGGATCCGCGCCGGCCGCGTCTGCTTACCTTCCACCAGGGAGGTGAGTAAGGTGACATTTGCCGCTTTGCGCCGGCCGGCTGGCAAATTCAAGCCGATTTTTTCTAGCCTCTCTCGCAACGATCTGCCCCCGTTTTTCGATTTGGCTCTGCAATGGCAAAATGGGGGGGAAAGAAGGTGCTGATTCGAAGCTGAAGGAATGTTCCCAGGAAAGAAACTTGGGGGGGGGGGAGCGACTATGAGGCAGATCCCGGGAGCTGGAAGGGGCTTTAGCGCGCGTGACTGTGTCTGAATTGCAGCTGACTGAGGAAGTTCTAGCAGACAAAATTGAGAAACGGGGAGGGGGAGGGAAAGAGAGAGAAGTAATGAGAGACAGACAGGTAACGAGGAAGGAGAGAGAGAGAGAGAGAGAGAGAGAGAGAGAGAGAGAGAGAGAGAGAGAGAGAGAGAGAGAGAAGGAGGGGAGAGTGGGGGGAGGGAGAGAAGCAATGAGACAGACAGATCGAGAGATGGGCATTGGGGAGGGGGAGAAAGGGGAGGGGAGGGGAGGGAGACATAATGATTCTCGAGGAAGAGTTATGCTGAGGGACCACAGATTTGTAGAGTAGGAAGGTGTCCCAAAGGGTCATCTAGTCCAACCCCCCCGAAACACATGACTCACTGGTACTGGTTGGACTCTGCACCAGGAAAGCAAAAGGAGATGCTGGCTGGTAGCGCCCAACCAAGGCAGCAGCAGCAGCCCGATTCCATGAGTTTTTATTTGAGCACTGGTTTCATTGTGGCTTGCTCCTAGTAAATGGGTAGACCATGTGCATAGCCAAGGGAGGCAGGGGGCTGGTGGGCAGCTGCCCCCCAATCAATAAAAATCAATAAAAAAATACATAGCTAACTGCGGTTCTGCTCCACCCCAGCAAAAGGCCTGCCTCCCACCTTAACAAAAATCCTGGCTACGCTCGTGGGATAGATTATTAGTTTTGAAGGAAAGCAAATGTCTAGCCTTGAGAAACACCTCCGTGACCATAAAACTGGAAAGGTGGAAAGGTCAGAGAAGTAGGAGATCAAGACTTCCAGGATACAGGCAGCTGTGGAGGGGGGAGTGACGGCTTGTACAACTGCCCTCAGCAACGTGAAGAGTTTAGTATTGATTCTGAGTGTGTGCCTTTTAATTGCAGCTGACAACCTTTTGACCAATTTAAATATATTTGCCTATTATTGAAATCTCAGTATTGCAGGCACATTTTAACAATATCTACCATTCCTTTTAGAAAAAGACCTCTTATCCATTTCCGCAACATACCACAAATCAAAAAAGCCCACAGAACTAGCAGCCTTGCTTTTTTAAAAATGAGTCCTCTCCAATTAAAAGTGGGTCCCACTGAAGGAATGGAAGCTTTCACTAGTTGATCTAGCAATTAAAAGATTTCTGCTTTCCATTCATTTGACAATAGCAACAGATTCGACTTGCAATGACAGAGGAAGACCCCACCTCTACTTCTGGACTTCACTTCTTCATCAACCAAATGGCAACCATTGGCCAGGATGCATGTGTGCATATGAGCATAGATGGATGCATGCTGAAGACCACATGCCCAAGCTTCACACAGGCTGAGGAGGCCCCAGTTTTACTTTTAATATCCATGGCTATTAACCCACCTAGAAATGACACATTGTCTCATACTACAGGGAAAAAAGTCAGGGGGGGGGATAAGAAGGAAAGGGCTTACTCTACAACTGTGAATATCTTACATTAGAGATGTGATTTCTGCACTGTTTCCCACCCTCTCTTCTGAAAGACATACCAGCCATCCTGTAGAACAGAGCTCCACACCCTTTCTTTACATGTAAAGAAAGAGATGTTAGGATCCTAGGCCAGCTTGAGAAGACCTATCAGAAAAGCTAGAAGGTTGTCTGCATGCTCACCATGGGTGCTTATTCCTTTTCCTGAAGTCGAATTAGGTTTTAATATTAGCTGGTGTGGTGCCCTCCAGATGTTGGACTATAACTTCCATCAGTCCCAGCCAGCATGATGTGTCAGGGATGGTGGGTGTTGTAGTCTAGCAACATCCAGATGGCACCATGTTAGGCTTCAGTTGCAAAAGCAGCACTGTGGAGTCTGGCCAAAGGCCTATATCAGGGGTCGGCAACCTAAGGCCCATGGGCCACAAGCAGCCCATGGGGGTCGTTTTACTGGCCCATGGACCCCCGCCGCCCCCTAAGGGACCCCTGCCGCCTGCTTGGTTGGCTCCAGTGCGCCGCGCTAAACCGGCGCGGAGCAGAGCAGCGACCACCATCCACGACGCTGGCCGGCTTCTCATTGGCTACAGGAAACTCCTGCAGCCAATGGGAAGCTGCACATGCCTCCTCTGCGCCAGAAGGAGCCCCGGAAATAGTCTTTGCACATGCGTGTGTGCGCATGCACACACACACTACGGCCCACCACTTTGCTGACTCCTGGCCTATATACTTAGGCACCCCATTTCACAAAGTGGTGAACCAGATGCCAATCAAAAGTACATAAGCAGCAGACAAGGCCAATAGCCCTCTCCCTCTGGTTGTTTCCCCATAACTGTTCTTTAGAAGCATCATGTATTGCAGCCACTGATAGGCCTGCCCTCCATGAATTGGTCTCATCCCCTTTTAAAATCATCACCACATATTGTGGCAGTGAATTCCGTTGCTTCAGTATGCCCTGTGTGAAGAATGACTTACTTTTGTCTGCCTGAACCTTGCTTCATTTTGTTTGAGTACCATGGGAAAGGCGAAAACACATCTCTATCCACTATCTCCACATCATAAATATTTGTGAACACCTCTCTCATATTGCTCGTTACTCACCCTTTTCTAAACTAAAAATCCCCAAACACGGTATCATTTCCTCCCAGGTGAGTTGCTGTGACCCAGTGATCATTTGGGTTGCTCTTTCCTTGCAATCTCATTGCCATCAGCAAACATGGCCACCTCACTGCTCACTTCTAACTCCAAATCATTTATGAACCATTAAAAAAAAAATCCAGTCCCTATGCAGATACCTGTGAGGTCTTATACACCTATGTATACACCTCATAGTCCACTATGAGGACTATCTATTTATTCTTATTCTCTGCTTCCTGTTCTCTAACCAGGTACCATCAGAGGACCCATCCTCCGATTCCATGGCTGCTAGAGTTACGCAATATCTACCAGGTCACCACTGTACACTTGTTCAATGGAATTCTCAAAGAACCAGAGTTCAGGCTCAAATGAAGCCCTTACTGAAGAGATGTACCACATTAACTGAAAGTAAGGAGTGTTTCCATGGTGGGGTATGAACAGCAAACGGAGCCCCTGCACCAGGCCAGCCCTTGCCACTGGAGCAACACACCCCACCATGGAAACACTCTTCAAGCAGCTTTGGTGTATTTCCGTGGAGTTGTGTGGAGGGTGAACGGAGCCAACTGTGGCAGGCCAGCCCTCACCACTGAAGTGATACCAGCCCCAAGCAGTGGCATTCCAATGGCTGGTGCTGCTTTGGGAGTGAGGGATGGCCAGGCGCAGTGGGCTCCTTCACCCTCCATGCCCCCCCTGCATCCCCCCCCCCAAGGGGACATGTGTCCGCCCCAGGAGCAGTAGGAGCACCCTTCACCACTGGTAGATCATCACTCATTCCTTCTTCCCTGGCAGGAGGGAGGAAGCAGCATTTTGTGGTTGCCTCGTGTGACAAAATGTCTTGGGTCAGCCATGTGCCTTAGCAATTCTTACAACAACCTTTTAAAATAAGCCAGCATTATGAATTCATGGAGGGGGAAGTTAAAGTTGAAAGTGAGTGCTTTGCCTAAAAGAGATGGCTAACCTACAGCACTCAACATGTTGCTGTACTCCAACTCCCATCAGCCCTTGCCAACATAGCCAATGTTCAAGGATGATAGAACTCAGAGCCATAGCTGTCAACTTTTCCCTTTCCTTGCGAGGAATCCTATTCGGAATAAGGGAATTTCCCTTTAAAAAAGGAAAACGTTGACAGCTATGCTCATAGCTCAGCAACATCTGGAAGAGCCCAGGCTAACCACTCCTGGCCTAAAACCACCTAATGTATTTTGACCCCTAGAATGCCTGGCTCACAACTTAACTCCATAAAAAAATTCCTTCCAGTAGCACCTTAGAGACCAACTAAGTTTGCTATTGGTATGATCTTTCGTGTGCATGCACACTTCTTCAGATACACTGAAACAGAAGTCAACAGACCCCCCCCCCACCCTCTCACTATATATAAGGGTCTGGTGACTTTTTCATATATAAGGGTCTGGTGACTTCTTCACTTCAGTGAAGAAGTGTGCGTGCACATGAAAGATCATAGCAATAACAAACTTAGTTGGTCTCTAAGGGGCTACTGGAAGGATTTTTTAAATTTTTTTTTGACTATGGCAGACCACCACGGCTACCTACCTATAACTAGAACTTAACTCCAGGCTATTACAGTACAACAGCTAAAGTGCTGAATATGCATACATTATCATATCATCCCTACCCTTCAAGTAAAACTTACTTAAAACAATGTTTAAAAAATAGATCAAAGCAAAAATAGGACATTTGAGTTTTCAGCATTGCAGGGGAATTGACTAGATGACCCTTGGTACCCTTTCCAACCCAATGATTCCATGATTCATGGTTATTGATAACAACAACAACAACAACAAATTAACATATCACAGGAAACAAAAATCAAAGGGCACCTGAGCAGGACAAGGTCCCAAAAGGACATGAGAGACTCGGTCATAGGCAAGCCTCACTGGGGGAACACCAAAAATGGGGTGCCACAGCTGAAAAGAGTTATTTTTCTCAGTTGCTACGTACCTCATCTCCAAAGACACAGCCACCCAGGCCCAGAAGATGATCTTAACATTTGGGTAGATTCATTTGGGAGCATTTGAAGAACCTGAGTCCCAAGCAGTACATTGCTTTAAAGGATATGCTCCTGAACTTTGAATTGTGCTCTGAAAAGCAGTGCCAATGTAGTCCTTTAAGAACTGGTGAGATGTGTTGCACATGACCAGTCCCAGTGAAAAGCCTTGCAGCCAACTGTTTTTTTCCAAGAAGTCCTCAGAGGCCCATGCATGCATAGTGGTAGCCAGACTGTTAAGTATATGTCCTATGAGGTCTTCTACATGCATCAACATCAACAGATACGCACAAAGCTGATCCCTGTAACACCACGTAATAAATCTCACACATAAGCACACATATACCTATCCCAAGGCCTTACCTTCTAAGTACTCCTCCAAGAAGCGAGGCATTCAAACATTCTGGGGGTGAGAGGCGCCTTTGAACTTCTCCAACAGTTACTTTGTACTTGGAAGTTGAGCTGAGCAAGGAGAGCCGCCCAGGTACTGAACAAAATACTTCGCCTGTGTTCACAGACATGCCACCAAGGAAGCCGTCTTTGTTCATCATCAGGGAAGTTACAGATTTTGGAGGAACTGGAACTGGGGAGACAGAAAAGTAGGTGTGGGAAACAGCACACTTCAGGGACCGGCTCAGTCATAAGACCACATTTGCTCAACCAGAAGTCAGTCCCATTGATTCAGCACCTTTTGTTTGGATGGCTTATTGCTCAGAGTCATATGGGGGATCCCATCACAGGGATGGTTCTTATAGAGCTCCCATGTCAGGTCCCAATGCCACATTAGCAGTGTTTCACATAGAAAGACCCTTTGGGCATTATCCTCGGAACATGAGAGCTGCTAAACTGAGAGGGGCCAAAGGACCCCATCCAGAATGACAGTGAACAGAGTGGGAGCAGCTGCCATGGAGCCTGACTCCATCCTTTACGGCTCACAGTAATGCTTGGAAGTCACTCTAAGACTAAGCTGTGGGCAGAGGAGCTCCTTTCCAGGACAGTGAGACTCTTCTTTCAGGAAGGAGCAACTGTGGCATAATAATGAGGAGTCAGTCTCGGACATTAGGCATTTCCTACAACACAGAAAGAAGCCACATTGCTGAAGGTGATGTTGGCAAGAGTCCCATATTGCCTCAGGCTCCATGGAAAAGGACCAAATGGCAAATTCTTTCCATGGAAGTAGTGAAAGGAGACATGCTGCAATGGTCCCAGGACAACAAGGTGAACTTGGAAGGGAAGGGAACACAACCCATATGGAAAAAGTCAATACCTACAATACTACCAGACTTAACATTACTGTTTCCTATGCAATTGATAGCTCACATATTTTGTGCTCCTGGATACTAAGTCTCCAGTATAATGCAAAGATGGGTCATTCTAAGCTCTCCAAAAGAGATCACCTAAAAACTCAGAAGAAGGAAGGGGTGCACTGAAAGTTGGCATACTGCCTTTACATGTCTATCAGAAAACATTTGATTGCCATGGGGTTGGGCTGGAAAGCCTACTCCACCGGCAGAAGCTGCCAACTAGTTTTCTTGCACAACTCCTAGTAAATACCTACATAATAGTCAGAAATGCAATAGATTAAGGGTGCCCCCCCACACACACACGCTGCCCCCATGCCAGGACAAGATTTCGATCATCTACCTATTGGGTGCTAGTTTTACTTACTCATTTGCTTAATTATTCACAATCCACAATAGGCACAGGAATGGAAGGTGGAGGGGGGTGAGGAACCCCTCTCATCACTGAGAAGCCAGGTTTAACAGGTGGATGTCTATGAAGGGAGCCAGCTTCTATTGGTCAACTTGAGTTCAGCAGAGTTCAGCTGTTGTGTCCCAGTTTTGTTAATTTTTAAATCTGTGTTCATCTTAATTAGTTCATGAACTCTGAGTTTCCACTCTCTCTTTTAAGGTGACATGGAGCCTATGCCCTAAACTCTTACATGGAGTGGGAAGGGCATTTCACTAGATTTATAGAGTTGGAGGGACCAGAAAGGTCATCTAATCTGCTGCTGCTGTTGCTACAGCATCTTGGATAGGTGGCAATTAAGCTTTGAAAACCTCCAATGAAGGAGAGCCCTCCATCTTCCAAGGGAGTTTCCCTAACACTTTGTCAAAATCACCAATATTGTAATTTCAACCCACTGCTTTGGGTCCTTTCCTAAAGCATCAGAAAATAAATTAGCTCCATGTTTTAAGATGCTTGTCATATCACCACCTCTTAATTGTCTTTTCCGGGCTAAATAGCATGTTAGGCCACACCTGCTGAAGCTAATTTTCTGCACGATATTTAGGGTGGGGAAGACTATCCCTGTTGTATTTAGTCACCCAGTTGTCTCTCCAAATCTCAAACCAACAATTGTATATCTTTCTCTGGGCCAGTGACTGTTTCAAGCTTTTTCACAGATTAGATATTTAGAACACCAACCCATGAATCTATTAGTTTAACCCCAGGGTAGTTGCAACAATACTCCAATTAACCCTTCATAGATTCTTCCTTATCTCTGGGGAAGTTGCCCTGGTGTTTCTAAGTATATTTGTAATTATGTAGAAGTTGGAGACAGCAGGCGGCCTTTACTACAACCACATGGTAAAACAGAATATGAAACAAGGGCAATTAGAGATTCACAGCCTGACCCACTAACCCATTGAGCCAGAGAAACTTGTATGGAAAGCTCATTTAGGCACCATGAAGTGATTGGGACATCACATTCAAAAGAAACATTTTGGTTTAACTTGTTCCTGGATCACATCTATAAATACAGTTTTTAAAAAGAGGGAAGTAAGCTTTTGAGCTGTTTAGTGTAGCTCCGTAGATTATAATGGACAAGCCAAAGAAAAAAAATATCAGTGTTCTTAATAATATTTGTGGGATATCCAGAAAGAGCAGTCAAGTCCAGCATTTCCTGTTTGCTAGAATGGGCACTCAGAGTTTGGATTGGTCAGTAGCTTCTCTCTCTACATATAAACTGTAAGACACTTTGTGCACTGTATAAATAAATACTTATTACTCATAAATATTTGTTTCATTATTTTTTAGTACTGATTCACAAATATAAAAAGGAAAGGAATCCAATAAATTGCTAGACTGGTAAGCTTAGCAGCGGGATCATTTTTGCACTGGTTTGATAAAAACTTGTATATTTGGGTTTTTTAACCCTTTATCCTGGCTTGGAATTGATGAAAACATTATTTTTTATTTAACAGACATACTGGGAGGGCTGGGTGTGTAAAAAAAGCAAATCATTCTAATTCCAAATGACAATGGAGCTCACTACTGAAAAGCTGCTTTTCCCTAAGATTCCAAGCTGCTCAAACAATTTCAAGAATAAGCACTGTTTTAAGAGAAGTAGAGCAAATTCCCCCTTCATGGATCACTGCCTTGCCGTGGCGAAGGGGCTTGAAGAACTCAGAGAAGCTATGAACTACTCCGAGCAGGGCACACAAGATGAACAGGTCATAGTGGAGAGTTTCGACCAAACGTGATCCACCTGGAGGAGGAACCGGCAAGCCACTCCAGTATCCTTGCCAAGAAAACTCCATGGACAAAGACAACAGGCATATAAAAGTTATGACGCTGGAAGATGAGCCCCTCAGGTCGGAAGGCGTCCAACATGCTACTGGGGAAGAGCGGAGGGCAAGTACAAGTAGATCCAGAGCTGATGAAGCGGCTGGGCCAAAGCCGAAAGGACGCTCAGTTGCGGATATGCCTGGAAGCGAAAGGAAAGTCCAATGCTGTAAAGAAAAATATTGCATAGGTTGTCTGGCAGGGCAAAAAGCCCAGAATTAAATTCAAAATATTGACAGACGCAAAAGAAAGAGGGGGGTTTGCCCTGCCGGACTTAAAATTGTATTATGAGGCAGCAGCTTTTTGCTGGCTGAAGGAATGGATGCTCCTCGAGAACACAGATATCTTGGATCTGGAAGGTTTCAATAATGTTTTTGGTTGGCATGCATATTTATGGTATGACAAAACTAAGCAGCATAGTGCCTTTAAAAATCATATTGTTAGAAAAGCATTGTTTAATGTATGGACGAGATATAAAGATCTGTTGGAAAACAAAACCCCTAGGTGGGTGTCGCCAGTCGAGGCTAAAGCAGTAAAGAAACTCAATATGGAGGTCGGATGGCCGAAGTATTGGGAAATTTTGGAACAGGATGGAGACAAGTGGAAATTACAAAGCTATGACAAATTGAAGGATAAAGTACAAAACTGGCTTCAATACTACCAAGTAATGGAGCTTTTCAAACAGGATAGGAAAATTGGCTTTCAAGTGGATAAATCCAAACTAGAAATTGAACTGTTAGAACCCAACACTAAGAATTTGTCAAGAATGTATAATTTGTTGCTGAAATGGAATACACAGGATGAAACGGTGAAATCAGCCATGATTAAATGGGCTCAAGATATTGGTCATGACATTATGTTTGCCGACTGGGAACAGTTATGGACCACCGGGGTTAAGTTTACGGCATGTAATGCCTTAAGAGAAAACATAATGAAAATGATTTACAGGTGGTACATGACCCCAGTCAAGCTGGCAAAAATCTATCATTTGCCCGATAACAAATGTTGGAAGTGTAAAGAGACTGAAGGTACCTTCTACCATCTTTGGTGGACATGCCCGAAGATTAAGGCCTTCTGGGAAATGATCTATAATGAAATCAAAAAGGTACTCAAATGTACCTTCGTGAAAAAACCAGAGGCCTTTCTCTTGGGCATTGTCGGCCAATTGGTGACAAAGAAGGATAGAACTTTCTTTATGTATGCTACAACAGCAGCAAGAATACTCATCGCAAAGTATTGGAAGACCCAAGACCTACCCACTTTGGAAGAATGGCAGATGAAAGTGATGGACTATATGACATTGGCTGAGATGACAGGCAGAATCCGTGACCAACGAAAAGAGACGGTGGAAGAAGAATGGAGGAAATTTAAAAGTTATCTTAAGGACTACTATAAACTTAATGAATGCTAAAATGTTGCGGTTTTCAGAAATAAAGGGATACAGGGATATAAGGTTAGAAATTTAAAAAAAAAAAGAACTAAGAAGATAGAAATTGAAAATAACAATTGGGAGTTGCTAGTCGAACTTTGGACACTGGGATGCAGAGAGGGGGGGTATGGGGAAGTCAAAGGAAAGAAGTTTATGAAAATATGTTTGAAACTATACGTGTATGTATGTCATTTTTGGTGTTTGTTTGTTTTTTGTTTAAAAAGTTTCTAAAACCAATAAAAATTTTATAAAAAAAAAAAAGAAAAAAAGAAAAATATTGCATAGGAACCTGGAATGTCAGAACCATGAACCTGGGTAAGTTGGAGGTGGTCAAAAATGAGATGGCAAGAATAAATATTGACATCCTGGGCATCAGTGAACTAAAATGGACGGGAATGGGTGAATTCAGTTCGGATGACCATCACATCTACTACTGTGGGCAAGAAACCCGTAAAAGAAATGGAGTGGCCCTCATAGTCAACAAAAGAGTGGCGAAAGCTGTACTGGGATGCAATCTCAAAAATGATAGAATGATCTCGATACGAATCCAAGGCAGACCTTTTAACATCACAGTAATCCAAGTTTAT